TAAAATTATATAAAAAATAATACAAAAAATTATTTTAAAATCATTTTGTTATTGTTTTTAAAGGAAATATATTTTACAAATTTTGCTATTTTATATTTAAAAAAGTATAATGTCAATTCAAATTATATGTAATTACACTGCATTAACTATAAATAAAAATTAAGTTTTTAATATTAGAGATAATCTTTTTATTTAATATTTTTTATTCTATAATTTAATATAATTTAAATCTATAATTTAATATAATTTAAATTATAAAATAAAATAACATTTACCTGTATAATTTGCACAGCATAAAATAAAAATAATTGAATAGAAGAAATTAATAATTTGCACAGCATAAAATAAAAATAATTAAATAGAAGAAATTATCCAAAGATACACGCGGTGTGGTATGGCAGTTTTTGGTTTAAAGATGTTCAAGGAAAATCGCACGCGCCAACCGAAATCGTGGCGCGTGCGTCAGAGTTAGTTTGGGCTTTCCTATCCTACCCCGTCCGTACTGTGCAGCCCCCCCCATTCCATACCTTCCCTCTGCAATGACCAAACCCTAGCCTTCTTCCTGTTTCCCTTAGTTGCTCATGAACTGAACTCCAATGCGAGGTTTGAGTCGATCTGTTGCACCAAGCTTCGAGCTTTCAATCTCTTGGTTCAACAATGGACGTGTTGAAGGACAATCTGGAAGAGGTAGAGATTGGGAGCTCAGTGGATTCGATTCAAAATTTATTGGAGTCGCAAAGAGAGCTTTTCCACAGCCAGACCGATCAGCTCCGGAATGTGGTCGTCAAACAATGTCAGCTTACCGGCGTCAACCCTCTTGCTCAGGAAATGGTATGTTATTGCAAATTCTCCCCAGCTTCTTTGTATTTGTAATTTTCTTTTCTTTTTTTTTCTGAACAAGAAGTATTAGTATTTTTTTTTTTAGTGAAAGAGGGTACTTGTTTACAAGAATTACAAAGTTTCAATTAATAGTGGTTCTATCCCAACCTTGTTTTTTAAGCTTTTTTGTTTTATATATAGAATGCAGCCTTCTATTACATGGTTGTTTTTTCACTAATTGAATTCTTGGCTTATGGATTGTTTCTTTCCAATTTGCAGGCGGCTGGAGCTCTGTCAATCAAAATAGGTAAGTCTTGTTAGAGGGATTTTATTCATGATTTTGAGTTTTGATACATATTATTATTTTCTGTTTCTGTATTTAACTGCATTGTCAAATTTGCAGGCAAACGGCCTAGAGATTTACTAAATCCTAAGGCTATAAAGTACAGGCAAGCAGTTTTTGCTATTAAGGATGCAATTAGTAAGAAGGAAAGCCGTGAAATCAGTGCTCTATTTGGTGTTACAGTTACATAGGTTTTTGTTTATTCATCAATTGGTTCTTACTTTTATATATCTAAAAATATACCTGCAATCCATTGTTGCTAAAATGTTATCTCTAACTTCATTCCATTGAGCCCATGAGCCATATTTTGCTTAAAATAATCATTTAGTCATGCTAGCTGTTGTCTTTTCAGGTCTGTTTGCCTGTCTCTACTTCTCTTTTGATTTAACATCCCTTTTTCTAATTAAACCATCTTGAGGTTAATGCATTTTCATTATTCATTCATTTTAATTTGCAGGTGCGTGATTTTTTTGCTAATCAACGCACCAGAGTGAGAAAGCAAGCTCAGTTGTCAAGGGAGAAGGCCATTAGATATGGACTCACAGGAGACCCATTGGAGAAATCCAAAATCTCTAATACTATGGTAACTCTTGATCAAAACCTAAAATCGGAGAAATTCAGAACCTCTAATAGGGTGGAAACTCTTGATCAAATCCAGAGAATGGACTCATGGGAAGCCTCATGGGAGAAATACATGAAGGTTCAAATCCCATGGCAGACACCACCAGGTACCATTGCTTTAAGCGTTTCTTTGTTGGTTCCTTTAGCTGTTTGCCGTTAACATTAGTGTTGAAAGAGTAATTTTACCACAGAACGGTGGAGAGTATTTAGATCATCAAAATTTAAGCAGAAGTATGTTGTGAGTCATGCCTGCAACTGCCTTGGGGAGATTTAAATTATGTCTTTTCAACCCCAGATGATAAC